TACTAGTATGTTGCATGTACTGGTATCCTATGAGACATCCCATCGGTGCTGGTATATCATGTACCATCCCAAATTCCGAGTTGGGATATCGTGTACCATCCAAGGGCATATACTGGTATATCCTTGGCCAAAATCTAGGACTGTGGTCCAGGATTCCGGCCAATAGGGCACTGTCGCCTCTTAGCAGTTTCAAACTGCGGTCCCAGATTTAGGCCTTAACTTGCCCGTCTTCGTTATCCTTACAGATTACGCGTCATTTGCTTTCTATTGATAGGAAAGTTTAGCCGGGGGGACTGAAAAGGGGTCTCTGAGGCTGTGCGGCGGTGGTGTACGGGATCACCCCAGCTCAGGGAAGAAGCAGGGAGAGCTCAGGACAAATCAGCCACAGCTCACCCTAGCTCAGGATTGCGAACGAAAAAGGAAATTTCGTGTGCCCAGATTCGTCGCATGAAACCAGGCTGTTTCCTACACGGATGACATGCCCGGGCAGGGTTGGTCGGGCGTGCCAGCAAGCGGGGGCCACGAAAAGCCTAGCGCACTCTATTTCTTCGCTATGGGCGGACCCCCGCGTTCGTCTTCCTAGGGTCACTTGGTATTGTACCCCGGTCTCCACGAACCGGACACGGGGCGCCGAAGTTGCGAGGATCACCTGCCGGCATGGCTGCTCCTTGAGCATTGCAGCCAACCTGAATGCCCGACGTTTTATATATTTTCGTCTTTCGCTTTCAAAATTTTAATCACCGTCAAGATAGACCAAGGAAGCAGTTTCCCGAGATGTCTCTAACACTACGCAGGTCGGACGAGCTCTGTGGAGAGTGCAAACCAAAGACCTACCCTCCCTGCCCCTGCCCCTGGGAGGACATGATCAAGCGGGAAAACAAGCAGACGCCCTCATTTGTGTAATGTAGCAAAAAGACTTGACGTTGAAATGCCAGAAACCCCCGGTTCTTGTTGGGGTGTAGATCTGAGTTGCGGCTCCCAAGCCACATCTGGTTGCCTTGTCTGATGCACCTTCTGCGTCGTGCGCTGGGTCGCGGCCGTCCGCGTGGTGACTACTTAAAAGAGTTACAGCCTGCGCTTCGCTGCATCTCTTTTTGACTGTCGGCCTGATCCCCGCCTACCCCCCTTTCTTGGCTCGTTTCTTGTCCCATTCTTGCTATGGACCGTTTGGCCTACATTTATGCTCGGGGCTCAGACAGATGTTCTCTCCCGGAGGAGGTGTTTCGACCGGCTGACGGCGGTCTGGACGAAAAGCCCAGGGGTTGGGGCGCTAATTGTGTGAGGGGCGGCGCCAGACTTCGCTTGCATTCCGGCAGCGGTGGATCTAAGACTCGGCTGGCCAAAAAAATGAGAGGCGAGACCCCGGACAACTGCCGAACTCTCAACTGTGCATACAGTCAAAATAATCCTCCTCCATTTGCATTTTCCCTACTTCATGTCGACCCAGCTTGTGGCCAGATGTTGATTTCCTTCTGCCAAACAATTCGTTTCTCTGCAACTCGGCCGGCCCTTCCTTCCTTCCTTCCCTCATTTCGACCAAGTACCTTCAAGACAGGCCGGATGGCGTCCTCTGTTCACGGCAGGAGTAGCGAGCTGGGCTCCGTTGATGGCATGTTGAAGCGCCTGACAACCCTCTTCGGGGGGGGTGGATGATGGGTGGATCGCTCGCCGTCAACATGAGCTGGCCAGGCTGGTCACGCAAAAGTCACAGTCACAACAGCAGTTCTCTCGCTCAGTCTCCGGCACCGACGTCTACTACGACCTCCAACTCCACCTCTTTCTCGATAGTCTATCGGAACTCGCCAATCAAATCACGGGCAAAGTTTATTCGATGGCCCGGAAGACGAAAATCAGCGACTTGTTGGGGGGGGCTTGAGAATTGCGGATGAGGAGGCGCTCACCTCCTCTGATACCACCGCTCCCAAGGCGGCCAGCATGCACCACCAGCAACTCGAAAAGTTGCTCAAGGATTTGAGAGACATGCTCGAAAGAGCAGCACAAAAGTTTCTTTGCGACGGTCACCACGCCAACATAATCGCCGAGCTCAAGCAGCACGTGGAGACGATTAAGGAGTTGGAACTTGTGGGGCGCTGGGCCCGAAACTTTCGAAGAAGGCGAAGTCTCGAATCTGCCTCTCGTGAATGTGATCCAGGTGGGTGGCAAGCATTACAGAATCGAGAAGAAGATTGGAAACGGCGTATATGGAGTTGTTTTCGAAGCCGAATGTCTCTCAACCGCAATGCCGGTGGCTATGAAATTCGTATGTATCCCCCACCCAATTTCAGGACACGAAGGAAAGCTTATGATAAGGACAGTCCCCGAAGAATGCCTACCCCCCCACCCCCCCCCCAACTTAAAGACGAGTTCCTGGTCTACGAGCATCTTCAAATTCAAGGCCTACGCGTCTATTACTTTGGCGAGATCGCCCTTCATAAGATTCTTATCATAGATATTTTGGGGAGGTCTCTGCAGGACCTCTTCATAGAGTGTAACCGGAAGTTCAGTCGCACAATGATAGACAGTCTCGGCAAATTGATGGTGAGCATACCGAAAATCTTTGAATTGGATGATGATTCTGACCGTCTACAAGCTTCGTGCCGTTGAAGATGTTCACGCCAAGGGCTATGGACATGGCGATCTGAAGCCAGGCAATTTCCTGTTCGGGAGACCTGGGACACCGACTACCGACATACTATACGCTGTCGATTTCGGCATGGCCAGGGCGTACCGGGATTCGAAGACCAATCGTCACATTCCTCTCACGGTTCCCATGATCAAGTCGCGACAGGGGTCGCCTGAGTTCATGAGCGTCAGGGGACACCGTGGAGACAAACTGTCGCGCAGAGACGACCTTGAGAGCTTAGGCTGGGTGTTCCTATACTTTACGAAGGGCAAGCTGCCATGGGAAAAGACAAAGGTGGCGAAGGGAGAGGAAGAAAAGTTATATGAGAGGTTGGCACAAGAAAAAGAGGACATGATGGAATGATCGACCCATTGGCGGCAGAACAGATGCAGCGGCCAACTGCGGTCTCGGCCGGAGGGAAACGGCGGCGTGTGGATTCAATCCCCAATCCCGGACAGAATAGGGGGGGCAAGTTAGGCTTCCCCTGATGGTGATGGTTCAACAGGAGGAGGATCTGATTGACGACTGAGGAGGCATTGGGATAGAGTGCGGATTGAGCAGGAAAGCTCTCTAATTGGAGAGCGTGTAGGAGCTACGGGGTCTTTGCCGGTTTGGCTGGATGTTCGGGGCTGGAAGCTCGGGGATCACTAGGGCGGGAGCAATATGGCTGGCAATGGGTCCATTCTACCGACTACTTAATTTGTTGTCGCTGCCCGATGGTATGGAGTTAGTTCATGTACGCATTTGCGAGAAGAAGCAGGCCCACTTTGCGGCCAGCTGGTGTTCGTGTGGAATGAGCATTCCCATCCCCTGAGTGCTGCAAAAAAACGCCACATCCGTCAACGAGGCGAATTTGCCAGCTCACTGCTGTGACACTAGAAAATGACCGCTACATCCTCCATCCTTCCCCCCGTCAAGCTTACGAGGGCTCATTTATCCCTGTTCGTGGGGTTCCCTGTATCCCGGCGACCGCTTGGGTCCCTAGAGCTAGTTTAGGGAGCTGCGGAATTCATGGACGGCGATCGATATGCGAGACTGAGGCTTTCTCCTTTTGCCTTTCCTTGCGCCGGCTTAGTAGCGCTGAACCGCCAAGATATTGTACCTCGATCTCGCAGCCTCTTAGGAGAGAAACATGCTTACGCTTTCTCCCACAGTGACATTACCAGCGCATGTCCAGTACACTACCCCTGATCCCGAGGACTCTTTCCGGACACTACCCACGGGGTATTGCTCACCTGCTGAGCGGCCACCAATTACAGCCCCCGACCGTACCGAGCCAAGCCAGCCGATACCGCCATCGCAACAGCACAGGGAACCCCTTCCAACGGGTTCTCAACAGCCGCCGATGTCGATGGATGGATGGATGGTGCAATGGTTCATGAGCCAGGCTGGCATCCACACAACCACGGTCCCGGACCGCGTCCCCACGGTCAGTCAAGAGAGCTCTCTATCGATGCCGAATCTCAGCTCGGCCAGCACCCAGCCCGATTCGCCCGGTCTCCAGAACAAGCGAAGCCCCCGAGCATCTTCAACGCCAAGCAAATGTGCGACGTGATCCAGTCCTACATCGAAGGCGGCCACCCGGAGTTGGTTGCGCAAGTTATTGACCCCAACGATCACGAACTGCCCTACAAGTTTGGGACAACTTTCTTAGTTATCTCAAACAGTACATTCTGGAACTCCCACAAGCGCCACGAGCGGCAATCCCAGCACGACTCGAGGGCTCGCGTCGATTTGAACAACAACCCATGCCCGCACAAACTGCCACCACCACCACCACCACCAACGGCGGAATCAATGCAGACGAATTCCCCTCGCGGTTCAGGCCAGACCATCGGCTCCCAACCGGCTCAGCCCCAGCTACAGCACATCATACGACCCAGCGAACTGCAGCAGGATCCTTGCCGGCAAGCTACCGACATAGTCCGCCGACTCCAGCCCCCTCGCGTACAGGCCCTTTGATGGATGCTATATATCTGTTGATATTGATGGGATGGTAACTTACATGCCTCGTAGCGAGCGGCATCTGGCCAGTGTTATGAGCAACGCGAGTTCGAGCACGCCATCAGCCGCGCCCTGTGACTGCCCCTTGGGAAGACTCAAGCCCGCTTCTGTCAGTGCTTCGCCACCTCGCCTCACGCTATCTGGACCCTCGCCTCCCTAATGCTTCCCAAGCCCCCCTGACTCCGAGCTCAGAAAAGACTCGAACCCGCTGATCGAGGCCAAGAACCAATGGAAGCAAGCATATTGACATTTTCATAAGCAAGGATGAATCAAAAATAAATATGCCGTGCGTGTATACTCCCGTCGCATTGTCAACGTGCAACAAAAACATCTGATCGCCAAAAAAGGAGGAATGCTAAACCACCATCATTTTTGCTGCCTGACGGACTCGAACCGCCGCGACTTTCGTCATTGCAGAGTGTCTGAGAAGACTTAAATGCAACGCCTTAACCAACTCGGCCAAGGCAGCTATTGATGAAGTTGGAGGTTGTCAGAGGCACTTGAAAGGCAAAGCCCCTCCCGCGCGTGACTCATGCCAGGCCTTGATCAGTAGACACATTTAGGTCTTACGGTTATACAGCGAACCGTTCAAATTACACCCCTGTAGGGATGTGAGGAAATGCTATTAAACAACAAAACAACGAAGTTCAGTACCACACGGCCCAACGTACCTCTTAAACGTACTGTGAGGTTGTGGCGCGGCGGTCAAGCTCTCCTCGAAAGACATCGGGTTAAGAACCATTTCTACTTGGATTAAGTTATCCTCACTGCAACTCCCCCGGATCCCGTACGTGATTGCTATTCTCTCTAGCAGTCTTCCGGATCAAACAGAGCGCCGATGATGAGGCATTCCCAAGGCTGGTTGGTGAAATTTTAAAATTTTCTTCGCGGGTGCTGCACGGGCCGCCAATGTCATCAGGTGGTTATGCGCCCTCTCGATTCACCCCCGTTTAGATTGACACGTTACCTACTACATGATTGCGGTTCTTTCATACAATGCTTCGACCTCATCGCATCCTGCCCCTAGTCCGATGGCATGCGATACCAATGCACACACGCCCAATGACTCCTGCTCATCCAAACTTCAGAAACCGCCAGGTCGCCGCCGCCCTGCCCATCTGCCACATGCAGCTTCTGCAAACGACATCTGCCCCCCAACCCCCCATGGATCCTTACGCCTACACATCCGGTTGCTGGCTGAGGAACCATGCCGCTGAGACGGCCGCAAGGCAACTCCGCTTCGACTTTGATGGACTTTGTCGCCGTGCCGTTGCGTGCCGTCCGGGGGCCTCCAAGGTTGTCCGCTGGGAGAAGCATGAGGGGAGTTACAACCGCGCGTTTGTGCTCCATCTCGACGATGGCTCGACACTGGTTGCGCGCGTGCCCTTTCCTGCAGCGGGGCCACCGCGCCTTGTCACCAATTCCGAAGTTGCAACCATGGCCTACCGTACATTCGCCAAGTCCCTTTGCTCCTGTGTTTCGCTAACCCGCCGCTAACCCGATGAATTCAGTTCGGAAAATGACATCCATCCCTATACCCGAGGTGCTCGATTGGAGTGACGATCCTCTGAATCCGCTAAAGACGGAATACATCATCATGCAACATGTCGAGGGCATACAGCTCCGCGATCGATGGGACGCCATGAGTCCTCAAGAGCATTTACTTTGCGTCAAGTCTCTTGCCCTGCTAGCAAAGGAAATGCATTCGTTACAGTTCCCAGCGTATGGTAGCATTTACTTTGATAGTGCGTCTGTCGATGCCCGTCATCGCATCCCTCTGCTTGACGGTTTCTTCATCGGTCCCAGCCTGGCTCATAGATATTGGGCTGAGTGCGCGCCGGGTGAAGGCCGCTGGTATAAAAGATGCCAGCCTAATCGCGGTCCTTGTTCGTTAATTACCCCGTTAACATCCGTCGTAACAGTATTATCTAACCGTTGCAGGGACCACCTTTGAAGCCTTCACACAAGGTCTCCTTGATACCGGCGTATCTCACTTCCCACCAGGGACAGCGCCAGGCACTCCGGAGTATTACGGAACCGTCGAGGAAAATCTGGACCTCCTTGCTGCGCTTGGTAAAGTCACTGCCGAGCTTTCCAAGGACCCCCGGATCCAAATGGTATCGGAGCCGAAACTCTTCCACAACGACCTTCACATGCGAAATATCTTCGTTTCCCGCGATGACGCCACCAAGATTACAGGCGTTATTGACTGGCAGTCAACTACGCTGGATCCTGTCCTTCTCTACGCTCACATGACGCCCGACCTCTGCATAAGCCCCCGTTTTCCCGAGGATCTGCTCGGGGAGGAGGGGGAAAAGGAGAGAAATGGCGATGACGTGTACGAAACAGCGGCAACAGCAGCCGAGAGGGAGAAAATCCAGTCTGATGTCGACCGATGCCGCAAGACATGGGAATTGTCACTCCATGTCCACGCACGAAAGCTTCATGACGCTCGCGCGCTCGACGAAGCCCTTCTTAGGCCGTATAGGCAGTGTTTTTCTACTTGGCAGTACGGAGCGACAGCCGCCCGGGATGTTCTGAAGGAGCTCTCCGCTCGATGGAGTGAACTCGCGCTGCCAGGACAACCCCCTTACCAGACCACCGACGAGGAGCTTGTCCGTGACGCGAAGCGGTCAGAGGACTTTCAAGCCGTCCTGACGCTGGAGAAGTGGCACCAGCACGCGCTAGATGTTGGTTCCGACGGCTGGGTTCCAACTGAGAGATGGGATGACGTTTTGGAGCTACACGAGGAGTTCTACAACAATTGGATGGCCGCTGCTAGAACGGCTGGCGACGAAGGGATGACGGAAGAGAAAGCGGCGAAAATGTGGCGTTTTGATCCGCCCGTCAGCTTAAGGCAGATTGGCCGCGCTGGGTAGGCAGTTAGGTGGTGCCTGGGGGAACCATTTTGTTGTATTGTGTAATTAACCAAATTTAGCACCCAAGCCACTGGTCGCCGCTCCGAGCACAAAACAGCATCAACTCTTTACTCGCTCTATATAAACAGGTTTGGTTTATCCAGCTTCACACCATCATTCACCCGTAAATCCTGCCTGCCGCCCGTTCTCATGCCAATCCCCCCTTTACACAAAAAAGCCTTCGAAAAGACGACAAGATGCTTGGTATCACGTACCGTCCCGATAAAATCACGCAAGTCCACCGTCATATCGACGCCCAGTAGGCCACAATACATTTCCTGTTACATGTTCAGCTTGGAGGTTTGACTACTTATATTGAACTCGACCCACACCTTCCATCAAGGAATGGAGACCTCAACACCATCAATTGGAAAAGGTCTCCAAAGCACTTGGGACACCGATAATTGGGCAATGCCTTGTTTACGCACTGCTACCTACGCTGATGAACGCTCTGCTGTCTAATGCTAGCCCTGAACAACGATAGCTTCTACTTCCCGTATTAAAACTAGCCGGCGATCTGAATCATCTCTTCATCCACCGACGATTCGCTGAAATATTCCGTGTCATCCGAGTCTGCGCTGCTTGAAGCTTCTGGCGCTCCATGGCGGTCCTCGATCAGCGTGAGAAATTCATTACAGGAGCGCCAACCGCTTGGGGGATACTTCTCCGTCGAAAATATCATGGAGCTGGTGGAACGAAACCTGTCTCTGAAGACATACCAAGTCTCCCTGTCGACGATCCTCATCGCATCCGGTCTCGGAAAGTACGGGTGACTGTTCGTAAACCATGCTGCCGCGTTTCCTATACTCTGCGAGTCCCGAGATAATTTTCGGCAGCTGGCGAAATCCATAACCCACATTGCATGTGGGCCGAGGAGGCCAGGGGTAAATTCTCGGTTTCCGAAGTGACACTCCCGCTGGTCAGCCCCCGACTGTTGCTCTGGTGCGACCCCTGACGGTGGCGGTGGACGTGGCGATGCGAGGACGAACTTGACATCGCAGACTTCGATGTGAGCCACCCACATCATAATGGCCAGGGCATCCGCCATTGCCACCGCATACTGGTTCGGGTCAAGCCCAAGCTCCTCCATCTGATCAACGTGGAGGCGGAAGTTGTTCAGGGTCTTTTGTTTTCCATCCTCGGTGTTAGACCGCAGTGTGCTCTTCCGGCGGCGGCCAAGATAGGGGCGGATGAGGCTGTACCTGTTATTCTCGTCATCGGCAGCCCGATCCAAATTGCTCTCTGGTATGTCCTAGTACTTCTGGATGAGCAGCTTCCGGGCGTCTTTCGGCATTGGCCAGATTCGTTCCATGGCGATAGCTTCGCATGTTGGGGTGCCATTGGGGAAAAAAGGCAGCCTGTTCATCCACGCCCTAAATTTGTTTGGGTAAAACTTGTCATAGTGGGGGAAGTTGACTTGGAAGGCGTTGTGGGTCCAGTCCTTGTTGACGATGCTGGGCAACTGGCTTCGAAACTGCCGGAGCAACCTCGTATGCGTCTCGATTTCGTCCCTGAAGTGTAGAAACCTGGGACCGTCACCCCTTTTCAGGACGCCTTTCCAGTTGCGACCAGCCGAGCCGTTAGTGGCCCATACGCTTGAACGCTCGCTCCGACCAACACATACGAACTTGACCCCCTGCTCGAGCGCAATCTTGACCCTCGGATCGGTGGGTTCTGGTGGGGGGGTACTGCCGCTTGGATGTTCAATTGGCACTGCCAAACTCCACTCTTCTCCGTCGGTCTCGGGCGAATCAGTGGGAGCTCGAGGGGGGTCGGGGGGCTCAATTGAGGGGAGCACAATCGGGGAGGGCTCTGCCGGTGCAGGCTCGATTGAAGGGAGCACGGTCGGAAAGGGCTCTGCCGGCGCAGACTCGATTGAAGCTATCACCGTCGCAAAGAACCCGATCGAAGGGAGATTGGCTGTCTCGGAGCAGCTTGGAGAATGCTGACGCAAATTGGACTCCTTGGGACTGGATTCTGGCTGACAAGAAGTTATGGAACAAATCATGGATTCGATCTCGTCATCGGAGATCGTGGTATATCGACCTGTTGTGTCTGACGCCATGGTGGTCTCTGGAAGATCCTTTCCCAGCTTTCTGAAAAGATACGAAGCTGCTGTGCAAGGAGTGATCGGAGGGGTGAGTAATTGTGTTGACACAGCTCGCGCGGCGGGCGAATGCCTTGGACTCTCTGGTTGCCCCATCAGTGTTCTTGCCTCCCGTTGCCAGCATCCATGGATGCCAGGCACGATGTAGAAGGATGGATCCTGGGTCTCGCTCAACAAGAGGCATTCAACGATCTAACGAGGCCTTTGACGCGCCTTGAAGGGACTATGAGGCCTTGGGGGACTTTAAAAAATCTGTGACAGAACAAAATAGAAGGCATCTAAGGTATCTCTTCCATGCCCACCCTCCACCCGCGCTGCCTCCAGACCCTTCCTGCTCCCTGCAACAATATGACAGCTGTCCCGCCACCGTCAAAAGCCAAGACTCGGAAGGCAAAGACAGCAGCGCAAGCACTGTGCCGTCGCTGAGGTGCGCATCCGGCTCGC